CTGAGGTGTATGAGCAAGTGATTAAAGGGGATCTGTGCACAGGAACAAGCACTGGTTGTGCTGTCTCCTACTCTCACCAGCTCTGTCTTGACCAGCAGCGATGCTGCTATCTCCAACTGAACTGGAGTGGAACATAAGGGGGGGCTCTCTGATTGCACCAGCGGGGTTGACATGCAAACCCTGCTGCCCAGCTCTGTCCTCCAGCATCCCCCCAACAACACTGACTGCAAACACGTGACTGTAATGCTTCTTATGGTGCCATCAGAGCCTGGGGGGTCTCTGGGGCTTATGTCAATATGAGAAGAGGCAAGAAAAATTTCTTCACCAAAAGGGTGGTCAGGCATTGGAACCAGCTTCCCAAGGAAGTGGTGGGACCACAGTCCCGGGAAGAGTTCAAACACTGTGCAGATGAGGCCCTCAGTGACATGGTTTAGTGGTGGACTTGGCAGTGCTGTGGTAAAGGTCAGACTTGATGATCTTGAAGGTCTCTTCCAACCTGGTTTATTCTATGATAAAAAGAAACCACTCCTCAAGATGACTAAATGCTTCTCTTCCAAATTTCAGCCAGGAGCTTGGCAGCCTACTGGGCAAGGGGACAAAGGACTAATGATCATGGGAGGGCTTTCAGATACCCCAGTGGCTGCAGAAAAATGCCCTGTCTTGCGGGCAATGCTTCTGGAGGATCTTGGTACCACGGGGACACACGAGATATTCCTCTTCGTCCAGATGAAGGAAGGCCCCTTGATGTGGGCTAGGTCAGCAACCCTGCAGGTCATTCCTTCTGCAGCCAAGCTGGGGATCAAATGTCCAGCTGGGATGCTCTGGGTTCAGGAGCCAGAACCCCAGTCTTGGACAGTGCAAGCCAGGATCTCCTGCAGTACCTCCTCCTGCATCACTGTAAGTACCAGGAGTGAAAATGCTGCCCAGCTGATCCCCTTCAGCAGAGCACAGAGTCCTTCTCAGGGGAAAGGGGCTCCTTGCCAGACCCAGAAATATCTGGAAAAAGCAGATTTCCAGAGAAACCAGACAGGGGATGACTTGGAATCAAAGAAGTCTGAGGCAATGAAGAGGGTAGAAGAAAGTACTTCAAGTAACACATGGGAACTGCCCTTTGTAGGGTGGAATTGCACTCACTTCTCTAAGACTGTGAACTTTTATTCACTTTTTGCTGCTTCTGGATATCAGAACGCACATATACATGCACACACACACACTCACATGCTAGACTATATCCTTCTTTTGATCTCTGACTGGACAGAAAATAGCTCTTTATCCAGCCAGGTGGAGAAGTGACCACGTAACAGTTCTTTGAAAGACATTACCACCTCTTTCGGGCCAGTTTGTTCCAGCATCTTTACATCCTTCAAGATTGCCATGATACATCGCAACCAAAATTGCAGCCACTGACCCTGATTAAAAGCATGGCAACGTGTTTTTGTGCTGAATAATACAGGATGCTCCTCCTTTGCTAAGCTTCTCTGCCATGAGCCTCCAGTCCCCAGACGTAGTCATCCATCAGCAATCCTCTCCACCAAATGTGTAACATATTAGGGATTGGTTTTGTTTTAAACAAATGTCCCCCAGAGTGAAGGAAGGAAAAACATGCAAAGAGCTTCTTGTACTTAGGTAAGGGAAGTACCCCTTGCAGATGCGATGATGAGGAGCAGCCAAAACCAGGTATTTGTTTGCAGCCAACCAGACCTAGTGCAGACTGAGAAGTGACACTATCTTACTGCAGCAGAAGGGCAGGTCAACACAGTTTTTATCACCATACGCTTTTTGGCAACAAACTACCTTCATCCCTGATGCCTTCATTAATAAAAGGTCTACAGCAGGGAGCAGAGCACCCACCTTCAACAGATCTATGCCCGCAGAAAGCTACCTTGCACGCAGGTCTCTACTGATTACTTTGAGCTGCCTTAAGTGGCCCAACATGGCCCTAGGTACAGGTGAGGCTTTATTGAAGTCTGACCTCTCACTGTGACAAAGAATATCTTGGGCACAACTTGGGCTTCCATCTCAGCTAGCTGTTGTGCATCCACCTGTGAAACCTGCCTCCTTGCAAAAAGTGAGAAAACTGATCTGTCTAAAAGAGTCCACTCCTGGGGGAAAATGAACATTTATATCCCTGCTAAAGTCCCAAGGCCCGTGAAAGGGAAGAAATGTTCTGGCACGTCTGCTGCTGTAAAATGAAAACAGACCAGGGAGGAGACAAGCAGTTCTTGACTGATCACAGCTTCTCTCACTCCTCTACCCAGAGCAAGAGCGGCTTCTCTTTCAGGAGATGAAAACGTTGCAAGAAATTAAGCCAATGGGTTTTTTAAAAAGGATCAGAAGAGAGGAGAAAAAGAGGAAGTATTGGAATGAAAGGCAGGAAGAAAGTAGAGGTAATTTACAAAGCCTCATATTGGGAACCTCACTGCTGGAGTATGTGATTGTGCTGGGAGAATCTGCTGGGACACGTCCACACTGTAGTTCAGATAAGGAACTGAACATTTGGGTTTTATCCGAACTGATCCTTGGCTTCATAGCCTTTGAGATCCTGCCAATCTCTCCCTCCCCCTGGATGCGTGTTTTTCCAGCGTAGAAGCTGATCTTGCTTTATGCGTTTGCAATGACAGGTTGAGAATCAACACCATGGAACGATGCAGTATCACATGGGACCACAGGAACTTTTGTGTTCTGGTCTCTTATATTTTAGGGACTGAAGACAACTGCTAAGAAAAGCCTAAACTGAACCAATTTCAAGGTTCTACTTCTTAAGCCATTTCTATAAAAGTCACAAAATATATCAAGCTAACTGCATTTAAAATCCTCCAGCTGTCATCCATCACACAGCTTATTTGAAAAGCCATTCCCTCCAAAGTTGTGGTATTTTTCTCCCCATCCCAGTGTTTGCATTTACGGAATTAATGATTGTTGAGGAGTTGATAGTTGGAAACACTCCCTCCATAATGGGGAAGCATTAAAAGTTGGCGCTTGGCTTAGTGGAAATGAGAAGTGCTGTGGGTCTGCACAGAATGCAAATAAAAAATTACAAGCTGCAATGTTTCAAATTGGCATCCTGATGCCTCACATTATTCTTCAGAAAAGCCTGGCCCTTCCTTTGATCTCAGGATTACAGGCAGACAGGGTCTTCTGTGCAGCTATCCAAAGAAACTGCTGCACTACAGTGGCAGTAGGCACAGACCTTAGAGTAAAACCTAAAGTATGCAGACACTCATTTTCAGACCTCTGCCAGCACAGTAGAGTGAGACTGTCATTTTGGGACATCCATGGATGAATCGGGACCCTGCAACCAAATAAGGGCACACTGCAAAGTCTGGTCTCTCTAAAATCCAGTTTGTCTCTGTAATGATTTATCTTTTCGTTCCCACCTGATTAATCCCAGACAGTGCTCTTCAGTCTCATTCCCACTTGCAAGACAAGCAGGACAACACTTCTGTTCTTTATGAAATGAATTCTTGATGGCAACTTTTAAATTAAGTGCTGATTTGTTCCTCATAATTAATAAATTCTTCTGCAGCATAACACAGCTCTCCCCAACTTCAAATTACTTTGAAACTCCTGGAAAACTGTCTAACCAGTGATGGCATTTTATATAGATATAAAATGTATAAATGTGTATATATATATGGCATTATATATATATATTTATATACACACAGACAAAATACAACTTTAAGAATAACATCCTGTGCTTTTTTAACCCATAGATATTTCACTTTATCCACCTTAATTTTTAAGATAGAGGATATAGAGTAGAAACATTACTGCCTTACTTGCAATCCTACCTAAGTACTGGAAGAGCTATTAAGTTAATTGTGCTCTTTCAAAACCAAGTGCTGGGTCTTCAGAAAGTAAGTATCTCTGAAGTCCTGACATTTCAGTAGGGACACAGAACGCTGCACTCCTGGAAATGAGGGCCAAGATGGTCATACCGAAGGGAAGCAATTACAGCACAGATTTGAAATGTGAAACGCTCAAGATTTCCCTTTTGAAATTCAATATATTTCTTCAATTAGATATTGAATAGCTGTGACTATAAAAAGCCTATGCAAATCTCCAAGTATTATACTCTCTGGTGAAAGAGCACGTTAAGGCCAGAGTCAACAGAAGCAGCTGCTCTGATGCATGTTGTCACAGCTAATCATGTAGATCATCCCTCTGCTTTCTGTGTTGCAAGAAAGAATGCACCTACTGCTGTATGAAGAGGCAAGACTGCTGAAAACTGGGGTTTATGTACAAATTTGTGAAGCAATAGCAGGGAGTAATTTCTGCTTTGCGGATTCAGAATTCCTTTCCATACGAAAATCAAACACAAATATATTCTTGACTCCAGAACAGGCCTAGATCATGCTTTTATACATGTACATAATAATAAGGCAAAACAGACACTAAAAGCATACCCTGGCAATAAATACTTTAAGACTTCATTAGAAAACCAAAAGGTCACAACTGATACATGAAAAAGTCGAATTATCTAGGCTGACATTTCCAACTAATTTGAACTGACATCCTCATGAAAAATATGATTCTACTGCAAGAGGTGGTCTTACCTGTAAGTTTAAATGTGCCCTTTAAGCATTAATACTGAAAACAAAGCCCTGAAAAATATCTGCAGCCCTGCCAATTACAGTTCAGTATTGTATAGCAAAGCAACGTGAAGCAGACAATTAGCAGAAGATTTCAGCCCCTCATTAGCAAGCAGAACCTAAGAGTAAGAGGAAAAAAACCCCCAACCGAACCCCGTCTGAGCTCTGAGGAGCAGATTACGGGCTCGATCCAGCTGTGATATATTCAGACACCCATTACCATGCAACCAGCTTATCTACGGATGCGAGCAAATAAATACCAGGAGCCGATTTTGCAACGCGCACGGCGACGAGCCCGAGCATCCATGCACCTCTCAAGGCAGAAAGAGAGCCCTCTGCCTGCCTGCTCGCTGTGACTAGAGACACGTTTTGCACAAAGCAGCTGATTTTTTTGTGTGGACTTACTTTAACTGTCGAGGTTCGCAGTCAACTCCCGGCAGTAAGAGCCTCGCTGCCTGCCGTACGTCATCGCTGTCCACCGAGAAACTGCGACGGTGCCCTGCGTGAGCCACAGCAACCCGTATCCATTCCATCAGGGGAGGCAGCACAATGAACGGCCTGGGAAAGCACACAGACATGAGTGCTACAGTACCCTAGCATCAAAATAAAAGGTGTATGTAAAGAGAGCAGCGGAGTGCGTGTGTGTGCATGTGTGTGAGAATATATATATATACAGAGAGACAGCGAAAGAAACAAGCAAACTGAAAGCACGGGAGAGCAAACCAGCTCAGCAAATTTCCAGCAGGTCTAAATCAAAATGTCTCACCCTGTCTCAGGAGCTGGATTATTTGAAGAGGGAAATTTATGAGCCACATTCATTTATGGTACTCCTATGAGGTCAGTGCACCTGCTTGGCAAGCCCTCCCTTCACCCCATCCTTCACTCAGTGTATTCCAAAAAGAGAGCACAAGACCATGTCCTGCTCTAGCTGATGGGCCAGGCAGGGTACACTCCCCTGCCACTTTGCAATAGGGGCAGGAGAACAAAGATGGGTAGAGAGATCGGATGCCCCACCCTGAAATGCCGGGGATGGAGAGGTGATGCCCCAGGAAGTCTCCAGCATCAACTACCAACGCAATGTGCACCTCATGCTCAGCACTGAAAGCAGGGACCTTCGCAGCTGTGCTGTGGAAGTTACCTGCAAGCAGCATCAGAAATTAGAATGGTTTGTTTCACTTTAAGTGGCACCAAACTGCTATACCTCTGGGTACCAACTGTTCTGACACTTGAGCAAAAATACACAGAACTGACCCCAAAGTGGGTGGTGGGACTCTGAGCCACAGCCACCACTTGAGCAAAGCGTGGATGCTATCAAAGATGTGGTCCTTCACAAGTCTTAGACAGCAAGAGCTGCCCAAGCCTTAGATAAAACACACAACATACAGTTTGTTTCATCTATGCTAAAAACTATTCGGGGACCAAGAGCAAAAAGCCAAATCTTAAACAAAAACTAGCCCTAGATTGGAGATAAAACAAATGAAACATCTGCAGCTGAACACCTTGGAAGATAACTGCCTGCTAGATCAAGGTGGATAAAATCCCCAGAGCAATGAAGGCTGTAGCTACTGCCCTTCTGTCTTCAACATGGTTTTTGTCTGCTTCAACATCCAGCTGGGGTGTCCAAAACAGGTGTCTCCTCCACAGCTGTACACAGGAAACAAAGTCTGTGTGGGGCAGGTATGTAGGAAGGTTTAAAGGAGAAACCCCTCTTTATAACAATATACTATACAATGCTAAAAATCGTAAAATCATTAAAAATCAGTGTATCTGTCCAAGAGTTACTTGAAAACCGTGCTGAAAGTCCTGTGATTAGAAAGGACTGCTGAAAACTATGTGGACACAATGAGACTGTTTTATCCACAGTGTAAAGTAAATACCATGGCTACACTGGTATTTTAACACACTGATATAACATTAACAAGAACAAAAAGATATGAAACTAGTAAATGACTACTGTCCTCAAGGAATGTCCGCAATTAACCTGCTCTTACCTCCTTCTGAATCTTTTTCTTTTGCCTCATTCCCTATGTGGCTTCCTTTCCCCTCCTCTTTAACTGCATATTCCTTCTGTTTATTAGCTCAGTATATCATTCTAATATCAGAAATGTTCTTATTAGTGCAGCACCATTCCCTGCTTTTGCTCCCTTCCCTTCTCCTGATCCTTTTCGTTAACACTGCTTTCTCTTTTTCACCTTTCCTTCTGCAGTCCTTTTTCATAGAAGAAGGGAAAAAAAACAAACTCTGGATTAGGTGCCCAGTAGGCAAATACTTTACATTTTAAATATATAACTTTACCACAAAAGGAGAAAAATTATTTAAGAAGATGTTGATTCTGGAATATCCTTTTCCTATTTATAGCTCTTTATGCCATTTATTTCTCTTTTGAAGACTTGATTTTACACAGCTGATATTAATATGCTTGAGGAGGGATATTTCAAAAGTGCCAGAGGACAGAGAAGCCCTGAGGCCACTAACTTTCCCTAGGATGCCTGGCCCCCAAATCTCATGGGATCTTAAATGAGCAACCTCTTTCTGAAATATGACATTTTTAGCTGACTTGCCACTTTCATCATTATTCTATCCATCACCTCAAGACCAGGCTGCATTTCCTTCCAAGGCTTTTTGCTCTCCCCAGATCTGCCATGACAACATAAGAAGGTAGATAAGGACAGAGCATCTTCTCCCACAGCTCCTGTGAAACGACTTCCATAACCCACCTAATTTGTCGTGATGATAGCAGCAGTCAGAGGAGGGAGAAGCAGGGGTGTATCTGCTCCTGGAAGGCGACCTGCTTCCCAGGTCAACGGTGACATGTGTCATCAAAGCAGAATTGACACTCTCTCAGCGTTAAGTAGCTGGGGACAAGTGATCGGTGGGAGTTGTTTTCATCACTTGCTGAGCAAACAGTGGAAAGGGAGCTGCAAATCACACTAGAAGTGTAAAAATGCATATAGCTACCTACAGAACCTGGTGCAAGGAAAGGGAAATTCAATTCTAGGTTATGGTTTGCAAGAGCAAACATGGTCTGGACCAGAGAAATTAAGATAGGCTTGTATGGAACCTTCCTATAACGTGTGTTGGGTGAAGGGAAAAGCAGAGGGTTACGGCTGAACAGGGGTCTTGGGTTGGGGTTCATGCTTCCTCCTCCTCTTGCGCAGGTCAGAAGCTCATCCAGCACAAAATCTGCCCTCGCCACAGTGAGGAGCAGAGCAACTAAATTATTTACAGGAACTGTGATAAATGCACTATAAAACTGCATTTTTTTTCCTTTCCTCGTCTTGCAAAATTCAACAGAGAAATGGAAACGAATGTAGCTGTTTGGTGCAGTAAGTCCCCAAAGGGAAGAGGATCAGTGTTCTGAGGAGGCAGGGGAATTTTTTCTAAAGGCCAATTTCAGCCCCTACACGAAGATGTGAGGTTTATTCACAATACTACCTTTTTCCAAGGGGAAAAAATCCCAACTGCATATCTGAGCATGTCAGGGAATTTGTATTTTGAGAAGAGAACCAAATATGGCTGAGTGCAATAGGTTAAAAATACCCTCCAAGAGTCTATGCACCACGTGAAGGGGATTTTTTTCATTTTTAAATACTGTTTGTGTGCCAAAGAAGAAACAGGAACACAAAGCTATAGGGGTGTGATAACCCACAGGACAATGTGACATCAGTAAGAAACATTTCACTTTTCAAATGACACTGTGTGAAAATGGGTTGGGCTAATGCATCGCATCAATACACTGATTTATCTCTGGTACAAAGGCAGAGTTTGGTACTTTCATGTTCCAGAGCAGACACACAGCAGATAAGCCACCAGTTACGTGCTTTGGAAGTGCATATCTTAATTAAATTAACCTAACCAGGGTAAGAACGTGCTGGGCTTGACTGCCTGAAGGAAGTCAGGAGCAGCCCGACTGCTGCAGAAGCACCTTACTGGGGTGTGAGTCAGTGAGCCTCTAGCCCATCTCTATACCTGCACTTAATGTTCAACTCATGCTCCCATCCTCTTTAATTTACTGAGGTTCAAAGTTAAGCATGAGCTGAAGTAATATCCCAAAAAAGGTGGGTTTTGGCACAGGCTTCTGTTTTCCTGAGCTGTCATCTAACGGGAAAAACATGCCAGATCAGGATGCAGGAGAGACCTCTGTACACAGCAATCTCCATCCCACGCAAAAGACCTGGGAAGTGGAGGAAGGATGGGGGAAGCCAGCAAAAAGCAGATTCCAAAGGGTTGGACCCTTCCGGGCATTATCTCCCCAGTCCTCAGCAAGTGGACAGACAGCTCCTCTTGAAGCATGCCCTACCCAGGTCCCTACTTGAATAGAAAAGAGTTATGAGTGCTCCATAAACCCCCACATCCCTGGTTCCTCCCTCCATGCAGCATTCCTTCCTGCTCCTTCCTCCTGCCCAGTGCCCTTCTTGCATCTATTTTGGGATAGCTTAGGGAGCCGTGAGTTCCTGTGTTGTGCAGATATCTGCAGACAATACCCAGCTGGCACCTTGCACAAGGGACAACCGCTTGCCTTACCCCCCCATCTAGTCTATCACACATCCTTCTGTCCTTCTCCACATCACCCTCACATGTGGCAGGTTCCACCCATGCCTCTCTCTGGCACCCTCCCTTCATTGGGGCTACAACCCCTTCGTGCCCAACTGGACATCAAACCTATCTTGTCTTTTTCAGGTCTGATGCCTTTGGGGCACTTCAAAATACAAAATGGCTCATTGGGAATGCAGATGTTATGGGGGGTATCTAGCAGCACTCCACATTGCTCTTCTTCTGATGCCAAACCCTTCCCCCCCCCTCTCTCCCCCCCACGCTCATGAATATATTAAATCAACTTTTACAGAGAGGACCAGCTTGATGGTCTGCATCATGACGGGAATGGAGAAACTCCTGAGGGCTAATCCTACTCAGCTGTGAATTCCCACAGCTGCCTTCTGCTGTCCGTCCCTCAGTTTCACCAGCTGTGGATACAGCTATAGAGATCTGACTTTGCTCTGCCTTAAACACGTTCTATATGGTTCAATTACAACAACTGCTTTGGATGATTTCTATTTGCAGAATCCTTTAGCTACTGCTGTGGTGGGTCTTGAGTTTCTTCACTCATTCCAACAGAGTGGTGACTGCAAACCGTCGTGGCAATGGCAGCCAAAGTGCTACATGCAGGTCACTGCTGTGTACAATTGGAAAAACGAGCAAGAAAGAGTTAAGGTGCTCCTGAGAAATGTAAGACATTTTTACAAGGAAAAGCCTATCTAAACAAAGGTAGAGAGATGTTTCTGCTTGCAGATATGAGTCAGCAACTTTAATATCATAAAAATGTTTCATTGGTTTGATTAGTTATGTTTTCGTGAATGGCTTTCAAAGAAAATTCCAATATAGAAATTGAAAAGCATCCTCAGTTCCGACAGTTTTGATTTAGAGCACATGATGAAACCATATATGCAATTCTAGTCTGCTTTTGGTGTTATTGGAGGATAGAAAAGCATGTTTTTTCCAATGTTTATCATACATTTCAGATGGGTTTCTGGGCTGCAAAACTCCTATTTTATATTTAC